ATATATAACTGATAAACAAAGCAGGCTCGTCAATTGCTGCACAGAATGTAATTAACATTTTAAATAAATTTCTCCAGTTTATAGAATATTATTTTATGAAATGTTTGCATATGAAGCACACCCAGCGTGTGTGCTTATATTATAATATATTATTTTATGACTATTCATACCGAATTTTAATTATTTTATATGATAGAGATAACATAGAAGTTACCCTACAGGAGTTTTTTTCAGCTTTTAATTTCCTTTCGAATCAATTTTCTATTTCGTAAAATATTGAAAGCCTCTCTCGAATAGCTCTTGGATTTTATGTCCCTAATAATTCACAGTCTCATTCATTCATCATTCGAGGACATCACAGTGCAATTGTGCTATAGCAATACAGCCATAGGAAGTAAACAAATCAATTATACCCATACAGCTAAGGTCCTTGTATCAATGATGTCATCCGCATATTACGTATACGTAATATTTTCAACTCACTGTGAAATTCTCAAATATTGGTAAATAGTTCTTCGTATACTAGCTATGAAATTATTTGTTAAAAACATATTAATTAAAGGCAAGAAATAAATATGTTTATATATTTTCGTTATCAACAATATTACGTATACGTAATATTTGAAGCTTCAGAATTTCACACTGAATTCTCAACTTTTCGAAAATTCTGATTGAAACGTTAGTTGTGAAAGTTACCAGCATGTAAGTAAACACATTCAATCTTTAGACTTTAATATGTTTTCGTAACCAACAATATTACGTATACGTAATATTTGAAGCTCTTCAACTCAATCTCAGTGTGAAATTCTCTGATTGAGCTCTTCATTATTAAGGTATATGTTAACAGCAAGTTAATTCACATTCAAGCAGACTTTAATGTATGTATGGTCGCTATCAACAATATTACGTATACGTATATGCGTATATTTTATCAACTTAAGCTCGGTGTTAAATTGTTGGGGCTAGTATGGGTAAGCTTGTGCGTTTATGCTTGGCGCTTTAATGATTTTAATTAATTAACTTAATTATAAACACAAAAGTCCTTTTAGGGAATTATACGATGGGTGTAATTAATCAACAAAAGGCTTGGCGTGTTCAGCGCGCTCCGAAACTCATCTCAAATTTATGCATGTATGCAAATATTTTGATCCCAAATTTACATGACACATACGCACCGTTGCCGAAATGCTTTCCAGTTAAATTATGCAAAATATTGTACATGGCGAGGATATATATGAGTGTACATATATATATGAATATATTATATATAGAATACATAGAGAGAGCGAGACGTGTTTTCGTCTTGGAAGTTTTTCCCGCATGTATAAAATGCCACGGACAGTGGAGATGATGATGATGATGATGAAGCGTGCTTTTGATGTGGCAATGACAACAATTAACACAAATAGACGACGAAGACACACGCACACACACAGACAAGTTGAGGCAATGAGCGTATTCAGTTGCTCGCTCTTGCACTTACCGTTTGACTGTTTATGCATTTGTCAGTACCGAAATACATCACACTCACACACACACACACACAGCCTGGCCAGGTGTGTGTGTGTAAGTGTCTGGGTATGCGCCGGCAAAGTGCACTCACTCTGCTGACAACTGCAAACTACTTACGTATGTTACGGCAACTGACAACTCGACATATTCAGAATCAGCCAGAGCCAGGCCAGAGCCAGAGCCAGAGCCAGTCAGTCATCGGAAGCAGAGGGGCAGAGATAGCAACACCAGCAGCAGTGACAAAGGTGTTAAGAAAGCCATTTTCCCTGCTAATGAGTGTCGGTATAAATGTATAGGTGTATGTGTATCTATCTATCTCTCCCTCTCTCTCTCTCTCAGTGTGTGTTTACAGGCTCTTGTCTTGGCTTACCGGGCCCTAGCCTTGCCGGGACTTGAGCTGAAGAGCAAACAAAAATGTTTTCATGTTTGGGCATGTCAACAGATTTGTCCCTTTCAGTTGAGCCCCCTCTCCGTCTCTCTCTTTCTCGCTGTCTCCCTCTCTCATTTAGCTGTATGCAGAAGCATTTTGCTTAATTAGTTACAAACATTAAAAACGAAGAATCCAAAAGGAATTATCTACCTCAGACCAGACACTGACTCGCTTTAAGGGTCAAATAACTTGGACTGAGCAGCCCAAACTAAAGGCAACAATAACAATAACAACAACAACACCAACAACAACTGACTCTGACAGTTTGATTAAGGATGTCAGGTAACTATCTGATAAACACTCGAATACATTGTCAAAGTCAGCCGTGTTAATCTTCTCACCAGACCAGACCAGACTAGAGGCTCTTTCAACTTTTACACACACTTTGCAACTCTGATGAAATCAGCTCACATTGAATTGGCTGCGAGAGTCGAGGGGGAGCTCCTGGGCGGAGTTTCCCTCTTCATAAAACTTTTTATCTTAATCTTTATTAATATATGCGTGTATCTTGTTTGCTAACTAAAAGCAAGTTATAGTTAAGTGAGATGAGTCAAGGTATATATTACGAGCTTAGCTTAGGTTCACCCTGGAATTTGATAGCATTTATAAGGCTTACAATGAAGAGTGGTGAAAAATAGGTAAGCAAATGGTCTCATTATTTAATATTTCATTTTTAATTTCCTACAGATTAATATTGTATATGCATTTAATTTTTGATTATTAATTTAATTTTTTATTATTATTTTATTAAAATTAAATTGTTTAGTATTTATTCCATTACTTACTTAATGTTTTCTTCTTATTATTATTATTTTTTTTTTTTGTATTTATTGTAATTTTCATGTTCTTGAAAATTGATGCTTTTCTGTTTATCCATGGCCTATTTATATTCACTCAAGCATATACATACATATGTAGCTCTTAAATAACTGCTGAGCGTTTCTCGTTGTCTCCAAATGAGTGCTTCTCACTCACACTCAAAGAAAAGACTCGGAGAGTAACCGACTGCACCGCTTCGTTTGCGATCGGTTATAAACCGTTTCATTTTGCTTTTGCTTTGCTTCGCTCTTGTCGTTTGCCTACCACTTGGCTGAGTTAAATGCAGAAAAAAGAAAAAAGTTTGTGTAAGTGTGCGAGGATGGTGTATGCTAAACATATCATGTGTGTGTGAGTGCGAATATGAAGACCGTTTGCATTGAGCTTTAATGTTATTGGCTCTCTTACTCCGCCTCAACGTGTGAGCGTCAGTTGCTAATCTCTCTCTCCCTACACGATGTTCGTGAAAAGAGCGTCACACGAATTGTTCAACTCAAGGCGCTCAACAGATTAAAAAGAACGAAAAGAACCAAAGTCTGCTGCTCAGCGTGAGAGCGACTCAACATGATTCTTTCCCGTTCATTTCGCGACTAGAGTAATAAATAGGAATGAAACAGTCAAATGTTATTTGAAAGAAACATTTATGTACAATATATATATGTATATCATAGGATAAATATAAAATAAATAAGTTTCTTCCGCATACAGTTGAGCTGATAGTAAGAAAGGCAGAAGCCATCAATTGCAGTTATAGTTTTGAAGTTCAATTTTCCTACAGAATTTGTTCAAGATGTAAGTCATAAAGTTTCGTAAGAGATGCTCTGAGAACCTTAATATTAGTCAACTTTAAATTACATACATATGTATCTTCAGTCGGACAATAAATAAATATCCTGATGGTGCCATATTAACAGCCGCTCCTTAAAGAACAAGAGTCAAAGGCAGACTTTCCATTAAGCAGAAAAAAGTTTAAATGGTCCTTTTACAATGTCAAGTCAATTCGGGGAATAAATACAAGTATATATGTACACACATACATACATATTATACCTTTACATACATACATACATTAAGTATAGAAACTGAGTTCACAATTTAAGCTAAAAAGCTTTAATTGCCTTTGCACAATGTCAAGCTCTAGGCATATACATATATACATACATACATACTAAGTACAGATTAATGATAAATAACACAAGACGCACAATTTCGTAGAAATTTCTGTGTCGCTAAGAACAAAGCCAGGTTATTTGTATTGGACAAATAGCCCATAGCTCTTGTTAGCTATTTACATACATATGTATATAAAATGCTTATCAACTTACATTCTCATTAAAAGCTTACCTCAACTCATTAAATCTAATTTCTGCTTTATAGAGAAACTCAAAATGCTGGACATAACGCGCGATAAGCCCGTCAAGGTGGCCGTGAAGGTGGCTGTGCCGGTGCGGGATCACCCGAAGGTGGGTCAAATATCTGTTAATCATGCTAACGGTAATCGCTTACTTATTTTACTTATTGGGCATTTGGCTGGCAGTTCAATTTCGTTGGCAAGCTGCTCGGGCCGAAGGGCAATTCGATGAAGCGGCTACAGGAGGACACAATGTGCAAAATGGCCGTGCTGGGGCGCGGATCGATGCGCGACCGACGGAAGGAGGAGGAGCTGCGGGCCAGTGGCGACAGCCGTTACGCCCATCTCTTTGAGGACCTGCACGTGGAGATTTCGACCTTTGCGGCGCCCGCCGAGGCGCATGCTCGCATCGCCTACGCCCTGGCGGAAGTGCGTCGGTTTCTGGTTCCGGTGAGTCCCTTCATTTTTGCTTTTTTTTTTTTTGTATGTATTTATTTTCATTGCTCTCTGTTTGTCCCCGTTGGCATTACGGCCTTTGTTTGCCTCGCTACAATTGACCGTCGCAAGTGCTTAAAGTTGAAGCTCTATCGCAGCGCGCACAAAGACGCACTCAAAAGAAAAAAAAAAAAAAACATCTTTAAATTTTCTCAAGCGCGAAAGTTAATGGCACGCCAATAGCCGTCGAGTCATAGTCCGAGTCTGGGAGACAACGGAACAGCGGGAGGAGTATCAAGGCTGCACTCGTTATCGACTGCAGCTTCCGTGTGCTCACGACATCCTCCTCGTTCGCCGACGTGACACGCCTCCATGCGTCGCTGACTAAATTGCATTGTGCTGTAATTACATTTGCCACCCCTTTGGCAGCACTCGGGAAGCGTTCCATAAACTTCGTATTCGCCGCTGCAGCTGCCTGATGTCGCCTCTGTCCATTGTGTTGGCTCATGGCACACTATCACCACGCTGACATGGCGTGGCGCAGCTCCATTCCCATTCCCATTCCCATTGCCATCGCCATGCCATTCACAGGACATTCTCGCATCGCGTGTGCGCCCGCTGCCAACACCCCGCGTCACGCCCCTGCCACGCCTCGATGTGGCTCCGTCCACTTGAGATACAAACGGTAACCATTTACCTATCTGCCCGTTGCTCGTTTGCAATCCTTCTGGCCTCCATCATTCCGGCTGCAGTGCACATGGTCACATGTTCACATGCCTCGCARCGATATTTATTTATTTATTTATTTTTCCGCTTTCCCAATGAGAAACGACGAGTCCACCTGAAATTATAGCCACCCATTTGCCCTGCATAAGTGACCCAAATATCTAAAATATCTTAAATTCCAAAGCCACCACCAAGGACGACGTCCTTTAAACTCTGCTCCGTGCAGCTTGTTTACCTCAGACTCGAGCAGCTTTTCGCTTTGAGCTGTATGGAAGTCATTCGACTGAAATTTGAATAAAATACTCTGAACGTCTTTAAATTTATATTATTTCTATGGAATATTATTTAGGGCAGCAGGATGATGCTTGGGAATAAAATCTTATTGTTTATGCAGGGAAATAAGTTCCTTTAGTGGAAAGAAATATCAAAATAAACGGGGTCATGAATCAATAAATTTTAAAGAGAAATATAAATTTTAATAAAAATGGTTTGAAAGCAATAAATAAAATACCATAACTATATTTAAAGCATAAATTGCATATAAAATATATATAAATAAATAAATTGAAA